TAATAGATAAGTTTAGGAATTGTATTATAGAAATATTAAATGTATATACTTTATTTTGATATAAAACTAATTTAATGCAAATAAACTTATATTTAACAACTAAATTCTATGGAACATTTATGTAAACTTGTAAAATAACTCATAAACCATTTTAAAGTATGTGAGTAATTAATAAAATAAAAAAGTGCAGATTTATTCACTAAGATTCCTGTGGGAGACGCTTCTGAAGAGGTTAACACTGTTAATCCTTCCTTTTATAGATAATCCTTACAACAGTTATATATTAAATTATTTTTTATTATTAATATTTTTTAATATTATATATTAATTAATTCATATTATATTAATATTTCATTGAGGTTTAAAATTAATATTATTATTTTTTATTAATATATTAAATTAATTTATTTAATAAATTATAATCTTTTTATATATATATATATATATATATATATATATATATATATATATATATATATAAATTATAATTTATAGCACCTCTTTAGCCAGTTTACCCTGACGATCTGCATAGGTGAAACCTAGGTAGGTTTGTTTGGCTCTTTTAGGTTTACTTACTATCCATATATATATATATATATATATATATATATATATATATATATATATATAGAGAGAGAGAGAGAGAGAGAGAGAGAGAAAAAGAGAGAGATTATAATTTATAGCACCTCTTTAGCCAGTTTACCTGACGATCCATATAGGTGAAACCTAGGTATGTTTGTCTGGCACTTTAGGTTTACTTACTATCCATATATATATATATATATATATATATATATATATATATATATATATATATATATATATATATATATATATATAAAACTGGAAAAGTTATATATATATATATATATAAAAAAGGAAAAGTTATATATATATATATATATATATAACTTTTCCTTCATATATCCTTCTCAGTTTTTATTTAAAAGACCCGGTAGAGTGAAAGGGACGCTAATTTATATCGGTTGGCCTCGTTTTCTGCTAGTTTCAGAGTTTCTTTTTTTAGAATTATAATATGGCTTGGATTATTATAGAAATTCCAATTCTCACCTGTAACAACCATTCCGAAGTGAAATTGGTTTATGGACATCCCCCCTCCCAATTTGCTATTTTTTGTGTCGACCTCTGGTAATGTTACATGGATCTTCCCGGTGTCCATATGGAGCCCGATTGAGAACCACTGGTCTATGGCAATACAAACTTGGCGGAAAGGTTGCTAAGACGGAAGCATAATTTGGCCTCGCCACTTGAATTACATGTAAGGAAACCATGGTGCTGCAAATGCCCGGATATTACGTGACTGTTGATCAAAACAGCTAAACGCTATAAAAGAGTCCGGGCTCCTTGCTAGCATCTGTTGCTTAAAACTGCCAAAACCCGGTCCCCTAATAATGAAAAGTTGCATCGACTAATCAATATAGGTCACCAAGTAGTGAATACAGCTAAATCGTTAAGGCCATAGAAGAAAGGAACTGGTAATCCACATTCTAAACAGGAAACAACGGATAAACCTATACTCCACCAGAGCAGAATTTATGATTACATTTAGCAATTTCAAGAATATGAACAATATGAGACCTCACTGCCAATCCAGTACTGCATTTAAATTCGTCAAGCGAGGGTATCAAAGAGGAAAGGTCTTCAGAACAATTGCCATGAAAATATTTTGACGAAAGGTAGATATGTAAAAAATGTAAAAGAAAGACGTAAGCTTTATCTTCAAAAATAATATCGTTCCTTGCCACACAGTACTACTCAAAGTTTCATACGCGAGGAAGCCATGATGCATAAATTTGGATTGTCTATTATAACACCCCTTTTGCTTAATTTTTTTTTTACAATAAGGTTTACTCTGTACAAGGCCCGGGGGTGGGCACTCGGAGTAGAGGGTAGCTTATATAGAGAGGAAGGGGAACATGACGGTTGACTCTAGACTTGAACAGGTTAAGATTGTAGTGATCGGGGAAATATCTTCTTGGGCGTCTGTTTCATAGCGCAGTGGTTCGCGGGGAAAAGCTGTTTGTTTCAGTGGAACTTACTTCTCGTTGATGGAATACGGAGGGAATGTGGGTGATTTGTTTCATGCTGGACGCAATCGTCAGGCCTGACGATTGACCAACGTGAAACAACCTGTCGCCTCTGAGTTGACTTCAATGTTCACTTTATATATATATGTGTGTATGTGTGTATGTGTGTGTGTATGTATATATATATATATATATATATATATATATATATATATATATATATATATATATATGTATGTATGCATATGTGTATATATTCGATACATATGTTGTCTAGCGAAATTAAAACCCAAACACCCCTTATCAAAAAGAATTAATTTTTCCGTAACATTAATAATTTAATATATTAAGATTGTGCTTATAAGTTAAGGAAATTTGTGAATGGGTTATTCCAAAATCGCTTCAGAACGGAATGGGGCTATGGGTTTTAAATTTAATTTTATAATTGAATT